TGTTCCATCTTGTTTCCCTTTGGGGTTGCTGTAGGTGATCTGGAAGTCTGGTTTTGAGACTTATTTAAGTGTTTTCTCATTTCGACTGGGGAGGGGGGCTGTTAGCGCCTGCATGGATTACCTCCTCTGTGCTGGGTGAGGTGGGACAGGGGCTGGGAGCAGCAGTAGGGATAGTGACCCAAAAGCCCTTTCCTGTGGGCTGGGAGCAACGGGAGGGATGGTGGCTGGGAAGCCCCTTCCTCTGGACCAGGAGCAGCGGGATGGTGGCTCAGAAGCCCCTCCCTCTGGGCCAGGAGCACCGAGGAATGATATTGCAATGAAAAATGTATTGTGTTAATTTTTTAATGGGAAAAGAGCACCATATTTTAGGTGATGAATTGGTTGCATGACTTTTAAAAAGGGCACTAGTGATCTAGTTGTACGTATTAGTATGAAACATAAAATAGGAGTCCCATGGCAGCCACTGTATTTTTGATGTCTTTGTTATTGTTGTTGTGCCCTGACTTCTGAGGATGGAGGCAAGGGGAGGATAGAGTATGGTCTCCATAGAAACAATTGTTTGTCCCTTAGAAATGTCTCATTTTCAGTAACAGACCAGGCTAAAAACTGGACATATTTAAATACTCATGACTTCATGAAAACAGATGATATTTATAGAGATCAGCATTTACCCTATAGCATAAAAACTCTGAAAATAGTAAGCTCCTAAACTCTCAATAGGAAATTTAGAAAAGACTAAATCCTGAAATCAGTATCTTAATTTTTGAAATAACACACTAAAATACTAATTGCTAAGATATGCGTATCTCTGCACTATAACATTTTTTTTTTCTGGAAGAAGTCTTTGACCAATGATGAAGTTCACTTCTGAAAAAGTGTAATTCTTTCTCTACTTGCTGTTAGATTCTAAAAGGGGATCACTGAACTCTACAAACAACTTCTCTTCCTGTCCTCTTCCTTCCCTCTCCTGTCGAATCAAGAATTTTCACCTACTTGAGAATTTTCACCTCCTGAATCTTAGCGAAATTCAATAATATGAACACATATCACTACAGAGTGTTGCATGTCTGAAGGCCCAAGGATGGAATACTATACATTATTTTAATGCAATAAAAATAAATACACAGCAGAGACCCATCAAATACCATACACACACACACTAAACTCAAATACTACCCCTTCACATACAACACACATCACACACACCCTATACACACGTACTCATACATCACAACTCACACAAGAACATACTGCCGTCTGCCTCTTTCGTTGGCTTGCTTGCATTCCCCTTCAGTGTAGTCCATATTGTGTGGCACTCTTCATTTTCCATGAAGTTTCTAAAAATTCTATACTAAAATGAATGCTATTTGGATTGGAGTTTCACTGACAGGAAAAGCCCTTTTTACTCCATAAACATTGCCTACCAAAAGTTCTGCATAAAGAAATATGAGATTTTGTTGTGCTCATTTCAGCCCTTTCTGAGAAATCTCTTTTCTCATTAGTAACTTGGGACCTCTTCGATTGAGTTGACCTTTCTCACCGGAAGCAGTCCCCATCATCACCACCCCCACCCCCACCCCCACCAGTGGTAACCTTAGGAGGGCTTCTGCCTGGGGCCAGACTCAGAAGAGACCACAGTGAAGGCGGAAGTAGCTACTGGTTGCCTTTCTTCCTTTAAACACGCTGTGCAGTGGTGAGCTAAGCCTGCAGATGCATTGTGGACTGGCTTGGTTTTTTTCCTACAAGAGAAAGTCGGTGCAGCAAAGTACTGGGTGGGCAGAGGGGAAATTTACTGGAAATGGAAGAGAAAATAAAACAAAATGAGGTTTGCAAACATTCTCCAACATTAAGGAAGTAATCATAGCAAAAGCTAAAAATCTCACAACATATTTTTATAAAGATAAGATAAAATAAAGAGCTGGTAAATAAGGCAACTGGAAATGAATAGGAAGTGCTTTACTAGTTGCTCAATTTAGGATTTGTGGATCGAAGTATGGCATCACGTGTACTTAACCACCAAGTTTCAAGTTACTTTAAATTCCTCATCGTACTTTTAAGTCATTTTTATGGAGTGGATTCAGAAGTTTTGTCAATAAAAGGCAAGTTTCAGCCCCTTGTTTCTTAGGTTCAATGATAATGTCACTTACACATTGGGTGGCCTGCATAATTGAACATAATTATCATAGAATAGTTTAACTCATATCAGAATATTTTAGAAAGAACGTTCTCATAACTTATTGGCTCTAGCTTATTGCCTTTGTTTTCTGTGTTTATGTATTTGATTACACCTCCAGCATTGTTTGTCTTCCTCTGTTGCAACATTTTTGGTTCTGCTGTACCTATTTGTCACCTTTATTTCATTGTTTTTACAGTAAATAATCTATAACCAAATTTCTGTTTCCTCCCACTCATTTCTTGACAACATGGATCCCACCCCCCACTGCTCAATGGAAACCACACTTAAAGGCTAAGTGTTTTCTTCACCTACACCTTCTTTTCAGTACATTCTTGATGTTAAAATTGTTTCTATGGGCCAGGGATTTAGCTCAGTGGTTACACCGCCTACCTCGCAAGCGCAAGGCCCAAGTTTAATCCCCTGTACCAGAAAAAAAAAAAAATTTTAAAGATACACATGCATGCGCGTGCGCGCGCGCACACACACACACACACACAAGTCCAGAATATATTTGTGGTAGACAGTATTCTAAAGTTGTCCCCCCAAAGACTCTGGTTATTTAAACATCAAGCTTAGTGAAGTGAAGGGGCTTTGCAGATATAAACTATGGTTATTAATCAGTTGGCTTTAAAGTATAAAAATTTCTGGATATCCTAGTAGAACCAGTCTAATTACTTAAGACTCTAAATTCCCAGGCTTTTTTCCTGGCTAGAACGCATGGATGCAGGAGAAGAGACGTATTGGAAGCAAGAAGCTCTGTTTGAAGAGATTCAAAGTATGAGTAAGATCAAGCAGGCTTTTTCTGGCTTAGTAAGGGTCTGTTAGGGAATGGAGGCAATTTCTAGAGGCTCAGGATGATGTTTGACTCACAGACAGCAAAGAGAGAACCAGCTCAGTCCTACAACTACAAAGAAAAAATATTTCCAAAAACTTTCCATGAAGCCAGGACCAGTCTCCTCTAGAGCCTCCAGAAGATGTAGATTTCAGCTTGTGAGACTCCAAGCAGAGAATCAACAGAGTCACATTGTTCTCAGATTTCTCACCCATGAAACCTGTAAGATAATAGTGAGGGTTGATTTAAGTCTCTACATGTGTGATAATTTGTTACAGCAGCAGCAGAAAAATAATACAGGTTGCCAGAATTTTTTCTGAAATTTATTTCTCTGATTGAACATTAGTTACTTCATCTCACTGAACAACAAAAAACCAGACTTGGACCTGTGTAAGACTGTGTGAGGTTGTATGTTTTATATGTATATATATTGCATAAGTACATACATAAACTTGAAAAGTTCCACCTCTCTTCCTTCTAGCTAAGAACTCACTGAGGCTCTAGAACTGGACTTCTACTTTACTTGCCGTATATCCTCTTCTGCAAAACTGGAGGGGTGATAATTGCCAGATCTTTCTCTCTTTTGATTTTCAATTTTCAACACATATCTGAACCTAAACAGAGAAGAAATTTGTTGGAATGGTGAAGGGTACCTCAGAGAATGCTGGAGAAGCTGAGTTGATCTAGAGACGAGGAAGCTAAAACGCAGAAGTCCCCCAAGATTTCCATCTCCATGCTGTGCTAGAGGAATTTCTCCGCTTCCTGGTGGTGACTCCTCCTGCCAGTATTTATGTGATTAGTTGCTGAGGAATTGGAGAAGTGAGTCAGTCTCATTTTGAAGAAGATGAAGTGTGGGAGAGACTCCAGGATAAAGAAAGGCGGCACCTCAAGAGGAATGAAAACAAGCTAGTTGCAAAAATTAGGAATGGAGGAAGTCACCTAAGAGTTTCTCAAGATTATTAAGTGCTTTTCTATAAAGTGATGTGCTTTATCTTCTAAACCATAACTCAGGAATTTGGGGTTCCATCATTGGGAAGGTCCACGAAGGAGCTTCACAAGTTTGCAATCACTGGCCATGAATGCAGTTTCTGAGTGCATATAGTTTTTGGTGAGTGAGTTCATACCTTTTATTAGACTCTCAAATGAGCCCATGATCCAAAAAAGTTGTAGAATATTACTGTCCAGCTACTTAAATCAAAACAAATCTGACACCAGGAAATCAGGTGATTCTAAGGCAGATACAAAAAGTTAAATCTGAAAAATCTGCATATGCTGTCATGTTCCTAGTCATCAAACAGCTATCAGAGAGCTACTCAGAGTATGAGACCTGTTTAGAGCTAAGGACTTACAGTGGATTCAGTGTCAGCATCCAATGACCGTGGGTCAAGAGGCCTGCTCTGTGGATTCTTTTGTGCCTAAGTCAGTGACATAATAACAACATGCATTACCCCATGCTTGTCATTTTTGCAGTATCTTGCTATTTTTCTGTAGTTCTTTAAAAAAAACCCCTCAGTCTTCATGCTTAGACATGGGATAATCAGAATGCCTGTTATCTGCCTGGCACTAATTACTGCCTGACAGTGTGAGGCTCTATGAAAGGCTCAAGCCCTAGTTTCTGTATTTGCTTGAACTAGATGTAGTCATTTTCAGGGGGAAAAAGGAATCGCCTACTCCTGTGGGCTCCAGTATTTCTCAGCTCACTCATCTGGTAGAAAAAAACTAAGCTCACTCACATTCCACCTTTATTTATGAATTATATAGAACTAGAAACACTGGTTAATACAGTGGTTAATGAAATGAGGCAGATAAAATTCTCACTCTCATGCAACATGGAGCCTTATGAAAGAAGACTGACCATAAGTAAAACAAATCAATAAACTGTACAGTAGTGTGACATGCTACTTAATGTTGTAGAGAAAAATAAAACAGGAAAGAACATCCAGGTGGGCTTGAGGGGAGAACTGCACTTTTAAACAGCCCCTGAGTGAGTGAAGACCTGAAGAAGGAATTAATGAATTGTTCTTTGCAATCATTTGACAAGGAGTCTATGTCCACATATTAAACATTAACAGAGCATAATTTCCTCATTTAGTTAGCCAATATAAATTCTAATATAGTCTTCTGGCACCTTAAGCAATCATCTTGGAGACTAGCTAAATGAGCAACTTGTTTAAATAGAATTCTCTGTCCTCACTATTATTGTAGTGTATTTAAGATCTAGCCATAATTATTAATTTTGTGTGGCTCTTTTAGTGTCAGATATGAAGCCTTATAGTAAATCACCTCTTTGGTTCAATCTTGATTTAGTTCCCTGAGTAATTTTCCCATCATATGGTTTATGTAGCAATGAGCAATTCTCCTAAATATCCAAAGCCACTTAGCGTTTCTGTCCTGCTTTGAAGCAGGTGTTTAGGGAGAATCTATGCACAAAAGCAGTAGTGGAACAGCTGGTAGTGAGCTGCTCACAGGAAGTGGTAACTCATTGGTTTTCTTTTTTTTCCTGTGAAGTCGTATTAACTTAGCATGAGCATTTCCCTTTTTACCAGAGGAGACAAGATTTGTTCGGCTTGGTGAAGCTTCAGAGAGAAAACACTTAAGAACGTTGATATTTTCAAACTATTTTGTGATTGAAATTTCAGCAATACAATGAGCTTCCGAGGGAAGGTTTTTAAACGGGAGCCCAGTGATTTCAGGAAGAAGAGACGACCAGTAAGGAGAGTAAATCCAGAAGAAATCCACAGATTTAGTTCTGTAGGTATCCGAATATCATTTTGCTTTTCATCTTTTCTTCAATACTTTCTTTTTAAAAGCCTTGGCTCTCAAGTAGTTTTCTAACCTAAGCTCCTGGGTAAAGTCCTGTATAAAACAGAAAATTCAGTTTGACTCATAAATATCCTGTCTTACTTGCATCATTATTTTGAAATCACATTATTTCCAAGCTATATATAACTTTTTAAAGAGGGTTTAAATAAGCATAACATTACTAGAATATTTGGAATTCTTGTAATGTTATCTTAATACTATGGTATGATTTATTATTACTGGAGCACTTATTCCTTTTATTTTAAAAAGCCTGTAATTATATAAATGAAGGCCTTAATTGATGACTTGTGTATAGCTGTTTTTTTTAAAGGTGGATATTCTGTTTTCATCATACACTAATTTATTTTAAAATTCCTAGAAAGAGCAATCCAAAATATAAAAGAAAAAGTAAGTAGAATAGCTCAGAAGGATTTATAAAAGTTGATACCTTTTAAAGTTTCAAAAGATTTGGTATTGTTTTACAGGTTCAAATATTTCTGCCTTATTCTTTGCCAATGGAAAGAGGGCTCTGGAAATATATACTTATTACAGGACTCTAGACTTTTGTCTGTAAGAAATACTGACAGTTGAATGTCAGAGCCGACTGCTAGAGCCCTTCGGTGACTTGTATGTAATGTGGAAGGCCTACTTCATGTGACAAATGGCCACGGCAACATTATTCGTAGCTCATTTTAGAAGACAGATCATTTTCTCAGTATGATCAATGATTCAAGCTTTTCTCCTTTTCTTTATGACAAACTTTCTCAACTTCAGCACCACTGTCCTTTGGGATCTGATAATTATTTTCTGGGGGTTTTTTTTGGTTTTTTTGTAGGAGTGCTCTGTGCATTGTAAGATATTTAGCAATATCCCCGCCCTGCAATGCTGGAGATAGCTTCTTCTCAATTGTGACAAATAAAAACATCTCCAAACATTATCAAATACTCTCTTTGCTAAGTTGAAACCACCGTTGACCATAAGAAATCATTTTATAATATAAAGTCTATAATCTTGAAATAGAAGTAGCTGTAAAAGTTATGTATGCATCAAAGACTATTTCTGAATTGTCATTTATGAATATGAATAGTCATTGAGCCCTTGACAGGCTAAAACCAAGAGCAAGTCACTGCCCCTGAGTTAATAGTGGCTCTCTTTATACTCACAGTTATTTGTTGGTATTTAATAGTAACCAGATTTATGAGAGGCCTGGCCACTAGGATTGGTGCTGTGTTGCTTGTTCAGATTCTGTCTCAGAGCCGCATGTCTGCTGTTGGTGAGCACACATAATATGATCACATCCATCAGCCTTGTTCCCATGGATGTAGCTAAGGTTTTTACCTAGTATGTCCCAACCAGAATATACAGAGTCCTGGATCCAAATTTTGTTCCCCATTTACCAGAAAAAAGAACCCAGTTGTGACCTCTTGATGGCACCATAAAAACCTTACCAGTTGTTTGCCTTCAGCCTGGTAAAAAGTGTAATTGTTGCCCAGAATTTAGCTCAGTGGTTCTGCCCCCTGCCTCCCAAGAGCAAGGTCCCAAGTTCAATCCCCAGCACCAAGGAAAAAAAAAAGTCAGTGTAAAAAGTGAAATTATTTCAAAAATTGGCTTGGCTTGAGATTATTTTAACCTTTAAACCACTCCAAAGTGTAATTTCCCTACTGTTTTTGTCTCATTGGAACTTAGTAGTGCCATGGGTTATGTCAGCCTGAGATTCACATTTTTTGTGTGTCCACTTAGAAAGACAACACACGGAGGAGAACATGTCTATCTTACATACACCTCACATACAGGATTGGCGAGAGGACAGTCCCCAGTGTCTCACCGTAAAATGAAGCCAATCACTCTTTGAATTATCTTAATTGAATTTGAATGCATTGCTACTGAGTACTATGGGAAAAGCAGCCAGTAAGGACACAGTGTTTTCCTACTGCATCCAGCAGCAATGCATTCAAATTTAATTAAGATCATTCATACAGTGATTAGCTTTCTTCTCTGGAAGGCTCTGGGGACTTTCCTGCTACCGTTGCCTGTTTTTGTTCTCCCTTAGAGAGGCATATCTACTTTCACAGGTTGTCTCTTCTATTGAGGAAAGGATTGTTTAATCCATTCTTGAATATTATCCTAAGATGTGGTTTTTATTTTGGAAAGCAGAATCCAAGAAGGTGAAACAAGTAATTAGAATGCTAGATTTGAGACAGATGTCTTGGGGTCACTCTGTCTGACTCTCACAAGCTCCCGGACAGTTACTTAAATCACTCTGAGCTTCAATTTCCTTTTCTGAAAAATGTGGATAATAACCCTTTTGGGTTTAGCACTGCTTACTTGAATTAGATTGGATAACATGCCTGCTAAACATGGTTTGAATGCTGTAAAAAATTAACAGTGTTATGTAGTATTATTAAAACCAAATAAAATAGCTTTACTTCCAAGGGCAAGGGAGAGGGGACTCAGTCCTAGTACACTGGCTTTCAGTGACTATAGTTGAAGGTGCTGGGCCAGAGACTTTCATCCTGGGAGCCTTTACAGTAACTGAGCTCCTCAGGAGACACGCTTGTGGGTTGTGTCAAACTTTTGTCTTCCAGGTTCCCGAATCCTTCTGGGTCAGTGAAGTTTGCCTCAAAAACAGCATGTTTTTCCTTCCCTTCTTTAGGCTCAATTTAGCAGAAACCCACCCAAAGCCAGGCTGGACTTTCCACATCACATTCATCTCAGCATTCTAAAACCTAAACCAGCATCCCTAGATGGGCTTTGAAGTCTACTCAGTGGGTGATTAGAGGAAAAAAGATTCAAGTCACAAAATTACCCAAAAGATGGGCACAAGGCTTCAGGTAAAATTAGAGAATAAAACCATAGTTTCCTTAAAACTTTTGGAAATACTCATATTATAGTGAAAGGAGAAATAATGATGGCTACAAAATATCAGTTTTTGTAATGATCATGTGGATTTTGAACTCAACAAGCCAGTTCTTGCTCAAAGGCAAATTTTAAAATTACATAATTCCTAGTAAACTAGAATATTTATCCAGACCCCTATGAGTTCCTAAATGTATAAATAACC